ATTTCATGGCCACAATAACACTGTTCCAAGTAACCTGAGCTTTCTATGCCTCAGTTACCTCCTCTCTGAAATAGGAACAGGGATTTTCCTGCCTCAATTAAAAGAGCTAATAAACAAACTGCTGAGAACCCTGCTCGATAGGTCGGTGTTCAGGGTGTGTCAGCTCTGATATTACCGACGGTGACAGCGTCAGCTGACACCCAAAAGCCCCCACAGAGACTTCAAGGCCCTGGCCCAGGCCCTCTGGAGTTTTGAGGTGACAGAATTGTCTTCTGTCCTCATGTCATATATGGCCGCCCCATTTGGAATGGGGCCCGTGTGGCTGAGGAACTCAATCTGAAACTTTATTCCTTTTCATGAATGTCCATGTACAGACGTGGCCGTCGGCTGCCACTCTGGCCCCGTGGCCCCAGGTGCAGGGCGCTCACTTTCCGTAGATGTTAAAGGGAGCTGATGGGTGCTCCCGCCACCTCAGGCCCCGGGCGCCCACCGCACCACGGATGGGCCCATGCGTGTAGTAAAACCACATACGAAATAGAAAAAGTGAACAGTTAAAATGGTGCTCTTTGAAAATGTAAAAATGTCCAAGTTTGACCTGTAACCTGAAGCGGTTAAAACTAGACTGAGGCTCTGACCCATCCATCTCCTTAATGCCCCATAAAACTTTATGAGGCTCTTTAAGAAACGGAGCTTATCATTCTCGGGGTGAAGCTGCCCCTGGCTGCCCTGAGCGGCGCCGTCCCCTCCTGTTTCGCTCACGAGCTACTGGAGGAAGAAAAGCTTCTGCCGCAGCCCCTGTCTGGAGAGCCGCAGCCACGCAGAGGAAGCGCTGGATGAGCAGCTGGGGACATTCCTAGCGAACATCTGGAAGAGCAGGTGATGCTCTGGGAACCAGCGGGTTCTCAGTGCCCCCTGCGTTCTTGGCTCGATGTCCGGGGTGGAGGAAGAGCAGGGGAGGCAGGGCGCAGGCCTGGGGCCAGGGCCTGGAGGAGGGTGGACCCTGAAATCTACTCTGAAGCACTTAAGTGATTTTGAGCTTGAGATGAGCGGGGGGTTGTCTGAAAGCAGGTCGTGGGGCCACGGCGGGGGGTGCAGAAGCAGAAGCTATCACAGATGAGTGAAGACCAAGGCAGTTAGCGGCAAAGTGCTGAGATTCCAAATGAAACAGGGCGAGCAGCCCGGAGCCCCTTCATGCTCATCCCGCCAGCGGGCACCCCCTCTGGAGGTCTCCTTCCTGCCCGAGGCGCCCCTCGTGGTGCTCCCTCTCCCGGGATTGCGGTCATCTCTACCCGCTGACAGCCCCCACCTTGGAGCCGCCGTCCCTGCGGGGTTCACTCGCCTGAGTGCGCCCCCTCACCGTGCCCCCCGAATGGCCTCTCTCTGTCCTGACCACGCGGGTCCAGGCTCCTGTCGGTCTGACCTGGAGCCAGCGGCAGACCGGTCCTCCCTGCCGGCTCCTTCCCTGTCTTCTCTCCTTCGGGCGAGGCCGACGTGATCTGTGTACAGCGAGCGCGGGCCTGTCTGCTGCTTCTGGATGGTCTCAGCTCCCGCGGCCTGGAGAGCGCCATCATCAAAGACGCGCCACACTGTGTGCCCCTGCACGCCACAGCTCACATGCCGGCCGGCGCGAGGCATGCTGCCCTGGGGGCCCATCCTCCCAGCCTTTTCTGTGGCCTGTGGAATGGCCCCATGTGGGTCTCTGCGGGCTTGACGCTGTCTCCACCCGGCAGGCCGTGGACCACGCTGACGGCGCGCACGGAGCACTTTTCAGGGCTTCCAGACCCGACCAATTTTTTCAGGCGGTCCCTCCTCTCCTGCCCATCTTTTGTGGAACTGGTGCCCCCTCTTTGACGGTAACAGGGTCCTTTGGGTCCTTTTAATGTAACTTGTGACACTCTGTGGCCCAATTAGTTGCCTCTTGTTGTTTCTCCAAATGTTTGCTCCTTAAATGGAAGCTCCTGGGCTCATTCCCACTCCGGTGTCCGGCACCTGGCACAGCCCAGGTATCTGGCTTCATAGACGCAGTGAGTCTCGAAGTAGATGGGAGGGTGTTTGAAAGGCAAGGAGAGGAAGAAACCTTGTAATGCTGGCATGTGGATTCAGAGCTGTGTCCAGAACACTGACCATGTGGTCTGTGACCGAGATCTGTAGCCCCACTGTGTGCAGCCTCTCAGCAGGAGCCATTTGACTCCACTTGGATTCAAGTGCAAGGAAGGATCGGAAGACCTTCTCAGCAAGGGTGACCTGTTGGCAGGGGCGGAAGGATGATAGATCAGCTCCTAAAAATCCAGAGGTTGTTTTTCCTGTGAAGAATCTCAAATGAGAGAAGTGGGGAAAAAACCAGGGTGGCCGTTCCTGTCCAGTGCCGGCATCACGTCATCCCGGTGGCGTGTGGAAAATGCCATGTAAATGTGTGCACAGGCCTGGGCACCCCAAGGAGCAGAAGGGGGACCGTTGTTTCTGTGGGTGGTGCTGGGGCCGTGGACTCAGGAGTCCTGGAAGTGATGACCCGCGACCTTCCAGAAGCCTGCGCGTGGCTGATTTGACTTTCACCTTTCATCTGCGATGGGGTTGGTTCTCTCATTCAGCAGAGACGTGCTGAGTGTCACAGAGGCTATTTACTCTAATTTTGTTAAATTTTAGAGTCACATCAAAATTATGAGATCACGTTATATTACAAAGTAATCCCTAGATGGTCAGTGTAGTTAGGCTGTTTATTCCCTGGGATGCTCTCCATTCCAGAATACCGAGACCAGTCTCACGGCAGCACGGGCACCTACTGCTGGACAGGTGAGGGGCACCTGGCACCTGGGCAGTGCGAATCTAGGGTCTGTATCTACCGTGTATCGTCCAGAGGCTGTTGCTCTCTCTCTCTTTTTTTTTTAAAGATTTATTTATTTATGCATACAAGAGCTGGGGTGCAGGCCAGAGGTGCGGGGGATTGGTAAGAGGATTCCCCAGAGACAGAGTGAGGAGCAGAACAGGCGGATCTACTGAAATCCACTGCTGACGGGAGCAGCAGGGAGACAGGAGAGGTCTGCTGCGCCCTGTGGGCAGCTCCCTGAGCGGGGATCGAACTTGTGCTGCAGTGGCTGGCAATAGCATCATAGTGCTGAGACTTAACCCCTGCGCCACCAGGGAGGCCCGCTGTTGCTCTCTCCCTCTTGCCTCTGCTTTCCATGACTTTATTCCCAGAAAAAAACTCTCTAGACATATTCCAGCCCCTAGAAAAAGTGGAGTATTCTGCCCCCCGCCCCCAAATTTCTCGCAGTTGTCACGGTCAACTCGGGTTACGTCTTTCTTGGGCTTACACATCCCTGAGCTTACTGCAAGGTCCGGGGGGTGGACTGGTCTGATGGCCAGGCTGGGATCTCACATCTGACCCTGAACCCAGGAGTAAGAGTAACTCCCTGTAAGCCACATGGGTGGAGTGAGGGAAAGGTGAGCCCAGAGGGGTGTGGGGTAAAGCCGGGGAAATGATCTCCCCGGAGAACGTGGCCTATACCTACTTTACTTTGTCAGTTTTTCTCCAGTACAAAAAAAAAAGGTGAAATCATGCAACTATTTCAAGTGAGCCTATTTCATGTTTTGAAATAGTCTTAAATACATTGTTTTCAGTTAGAAACGACCTAAATATAACCTCCAGGGCAGGCACGTTCCCTGGCGTCTGTGTGATGTGGACGGTCTTACGCCGAATGAGGCCGGGTGGCTGATCACCCCCACCCGTGCGTGTGAGTGCCTGAAGGGCTTCCCTTGTGGTGGGGATCATTTTCTGCTTTCCCCTGAGAAGGCGTCAGTGTTTCTACCTTTGAACCCTCTTGGCACTTCGATGGGCCATCTCGGAGGGCTTTCCACGGTCCGCCTTGAAATGGAAATGCGTGTGTGCACCTTGGTGCCGCGGTAGGTGCGCCTGGAAGAGGATCTTCTTCCTCTCTTCTGTGCATCCTCCTTCAGTGCTGGACACTGGCGCCTGCGAACATGAGGTGCCAAGTGCTACCTCCAGCGGAATCCACTCTCCTGCCCGGTAGATCACCGTGCAGACGCCGCATCCTTTCATCCACTTCATGCCGGGACTGGCTGCTCCATCACGGGGGCGCCTCTCCCGAGCCTGGCACCAGTGCTGTCCCGGGCCTGACCACACACGATGCCCTCTCTGGGGTGCACAGACCCACTAAGGGCCCCCACACACCCCTATCGGACTATGGTTCCCAACTAGGGTGGTTTTGCCCCAGGGGACATTAATCAATGACTGGAGACATTTCATTATCACAGTGAGGGGGGAGCTCCTGGTGTCTGTGCGTGGGGCTGGGGTCCTGCCATTCACCCCAGTATCCTCCACACAACCAAGACTTTCCTCACCTGAAGTGCCGGTCGTGCTAAGGCGGAGAACCCCTGTCTTGGAATAATCAGATTCTCACTCACAGCCATCGACAAGGAACACGGACAGAGTCCAAAATCCTCCTGAACTCATGTTCGTAATGAATTACGAAACATAAATTTTAGCCATTTTTTCTGATTTCCTGCTGCAGAATTAGCTATCAGTTTGCATAATTGCATGTAAATGTAAGCCAGCCTCGCCGGGCATAATTTAGGAACCTAAACAGGATGTCACTTCGTTAATTGCCACCAGTTTACTAATGTTGTGTGCTGTCGGGGGTGACTCTGTACCAGACCAATTAGTCTGTTTTCAAATCAAACCAGGGGACAGGATTAAGAAAAGGGTTTACACTAAAAGTCTGAGTTTTATCTTTGTCCTCAAAGCCAAACAGGCCTGGGAAAGGCAGTATCTCTTTTTAGGATTTGATCAGCCTCCTTCCTTTGGAGACTGGATTTATTGGAGGCGGGCGATGCTATCGTATCAGAGTCCAAATCCGATTTCCCGAGAGAGTGATGAAGCCGGGGATAAAGTCCGGAACTTTGTCTTTGCCAATCAGCTTAAATGGCCCCGACCTCAGGGTTCCAACAGAGGGTGTGCATGTTGGGCAAATCCATTGTTCCAGGCCAGAAACACCACGGAGGACAGAGGTATGCGCTGAAGATCGCTGCCGCCTGGGTCCTGCGCGCACAGCCAGGAGGGTCCGCTTCTCTCTGGTGAGTTCTCTCCACGTTCATCACTGTTCCCCAGATGGGGAAGGCAGATCCTCTGGGAAGCCAAAAAAATTTTTTTTAAGTTTCTAGTGAGCAGTGAGCCGCTGAGCAGAAGTTGAGGTGTGAGAGGAAACTGTGACAGTCTAGAAACCACTGTGGTTCCCCGGGTGGGCATCGCTGTCCAGGGGACGCCCCTGCGTCGCTTCTACAGACCTGTGTGGAGTGACAAGTACGGGAAAGGGGCGCAGGGGCCCATCTTGCGGGTGTTTGCCGTCTTGGGGGGCTCTCGAGGGCTGTGGGCAGCGGGCGAGTGTTTCAGCCAGAGAGAGACGTCGAGGTCTGTGCCTTGTGCGGTTCACTTCAGCCGCCTCGGGGAGAGGAAAGGGGAGAAATTGGGCCAGGTCGCTCCCCGGGGCCCTGTCTGAACGTCTACGCTTGTGGCTTGAACTCCTGCGTTCGCACGGGCAACTGTCCACGCGTGCCCACGCTGGCTCCGCGGCCCCCAGTCTTCCCGTGGGTCACGCACATTTACCGATGAACACTGCGCCTGAGCTGTTGACCGCGGAGCCAGCGTGGGCTCCCGTGCATTCCCTGGTGACGAGCTGCTCACGGCCTTGCTGCTTGCAGGGCTCCTACTCCCTGGCGCCCGTGTCCAGGAATGTGAGACCCGCTGAGAACACTTGACGGAGCGATCCACACGGATGGATGTTAGGAAGGAAGCGCGTGGAGCAGAGAGAGAGTGAACACCAGACAGCCTGGTGCAGATTGTGAAAGGAGGGCCAGGAAGCCCTCCCCGAGGACTGCAGGAAGGCAGAGACGGGAAGGCCGGGGTGGGCCCTGAGTCCACTGGTGCAGGGGGAGGTGAGCGTCCGCCCTGAGGCCGACAGCAGCTCCAGCCCCGGAATTCGAGCACTGGGGCCTGGCCTTCTCTGGGGACACACCCGCCCCGACGGCGGCCCCTTTCCACAGCGCGCCGTCTTGCTGGACAAGCTGGAGCCTAGTTAGGAAGCACAAATCAACAGATTTCCTTTTCTCCAGTCCTCCGGACGTGGTGTCCCAACGACACCCTTTTGCTGCCCCTGTGTGACATCTCAGGCAGGTTTGGGAGTGTCGCGTCCCTCTGAGTTACACAAGGGGCCCCTTCCAGTCGCTGAACCCTGGACTCCAGTGAGAATGTCAGAATGTCAAGGTTAAGTCAAAGACTTTATCCGCCAGGAGCCTGGGGGTGGCCTGGCCCCCTGCTCGAGCATTTCCTGGGCTCCCCTGCCGCTCCACAGCGTGGCCCGTGCAGGTTTAATCCGTCTTTGGACGCTTGGGAAGCACCCGCCTCTTCTCGCTCACCTGGGAGCAGGAGGGAGCGGGGGCTCCAGCTGTCCTTTTGTACGAGGGCGTCTGTCTCCCCTCGGGTGGGGGGTCTGACCCATGGCTGGAAGCTGAGGGTCAGGCCAGCGGTGCTGGCCTGGGGTAGGCCACACAGGAGGCCCAGCTCACTTCAGGGTGTGGATGGTCTGGCCCTTTGGTGTTTGGGCCAAAAGTAAGCAGCCTGAGCAGCGAGGGGGAGAGAGTGAGAAGAGTGGGCACGGGCCAAGCCATGCCAAGCCTATAGCCCCACTGCCAGGAAGCAGGAGTTGTAAATGAAGCCATGCATGCGGTCAGGGCATACTCAGTGGCGCGATGAAATTCAGCATCTCCCAAGTGTTTTTGACAAGACTTGGGCTAAGGGAGCTCATGCCAGCTCATGAGCTCCGCTGCGTTCTGCCACCTGGACCAGCATCGGCGTGTTTTTGAAAAAGTTGACACCAGAGAAGACCGAGGAATAACAGCGCACGTGTAATTCCAAATGTTTTATCTTTCATTCCCATGATACCCAGAATAAATGACTCTACTTCAAACTTTCAGAGATGAGTAGTTCATCAGAGAATAAATATAAATCAGGTCCATTAAGAATCAGTGCTGCGAAGTCCTTCAGCAAGTGGCCACCTTCTAAGGGCCGTTACATGTTAGCACTGAGTCCTCCGCAGGTCTCGACTGGCTGATTTCAGACGTAGACTGTGCACCAGTTGTTTGATATTTGGCAGCAAAATGGCTCCCAGGGAGAGCATAAGATTTGGCCTCAGGAGGCCCAGGCCTCGTCCACGGTCAGCTGCTGGCCTGGCCGTCACAGGTGCGCCTCTCACCCCTGCATCCTCGCTGAGAGATCAGATTTCTATGCCAGCTGTTGTAAATGTTGCAACAGCTGTTATGGTGGATAAAGGTTTGCAAGACCATATTAAAATGAGCATTGAGTACGTGGAAGACTTTCCCATCATCCTTCTGGTGGACTCATTCCTGTCATCATACCATGTTTGTCTTTCTTTTAACTACCTGAGCTTGTTTTACATGGAGAGACGTCACTGGTGCATGTGGAAGGGCTGAGCTGACACAAACAGCTGAGAATCACAAACAAGTCGCTATTTTCTGAATGACTATGACTTTTTTCTTCTTTGGTGACAAGATTACGACCTTTTTACTGAATTAAATTTTAAAATGATTTCTTGGATATTGAGCTAGAAATTTCATCTTAATTATATGAATTAAATATGGGATCAATAAACAGTAATTGAAGAGTAAATCACAGCAAAGACATTCATGTTGCTAGATGTGTGTGCGACATGGAGGTTGAGGGAGAATCTAGAGATAGCCACTCTCAAAATGCATGTTGACTAGAAACAATCATTTCTTTAGCACTTGACAACTGGAATTGGTCTTAGAGTCTTTGACGTCAACATTCTTATGACTTAAGAGGAAGTTGAGATTCAAAGAAAAAAATCTTTGCCTCAAATCAAAAAGTGTGCTGAGGGCAGACAGGTGCCATAATCCCTGGCCCCCAACTTCATTAAGCGATGATCAATATTTACAGAAAAAACATACACGCGAAGGATGGAAACCCACTGTCAGAACTCATGTCTACTCACCGCCATTGCTCCGTGTCTGCAGCAAGTGTCGAGGGTTCTTACCAGGAGCTGCAGCAAACCTCAGGTCCAGCATTTTCTTCTTTGAAATGAACACCTTTCAGTGAGAATCCAACCCAGGAAATGATTGACCGAGGCTGAAGCCCCTGTCCCGATTTCGTCTCCGGACTGTGCCAGCGACGCAACCTGTGTCTTATTTTGAACATGATGCATTTCACTAGCTCAGTTTTGAACTGACTACAGAAAATGAGACTGAAGCCATTTTACAGAGAATTTGCTGAAATCAATTTAGATGTAAGAAAAATTAGAATAAGAAAATAAAATTCTTAGCCAGGTGATATATGTAAATGGAGGGAGAGATTCCTTTCAAAAGCTGGCTTAAAATCCCCAAACCATTATTTAAATATCAACAGTAGTTTGTTAAGTGAATCACTCAATCAGGCTTTCAATGGCACACTAATGAGGAAAAAAATAGATTTGAACTTAATGGCACGTTTAATAACCTTGAATCCAAAAAATGAAACCGAATCAGGGAAACCTACTCTAATTTTCAATGGAGACATGCAAAGGCAGAATTATTTATGTAGAGAAACTAGGGCAAAAGGACACTTAGATACTGAATTTATATTTGAGGAGATGAATCGGCTGCTGCCCTTGGCGCCCATTTGTATGCGGAACACCAGCTTAACCCAGGAGGAGCGCTCTAGAAGCCAGTGTGTAGAACTTAATGGCCAAACGCTTTGGATCTACAAAAACTTCAGAGATGAGAAACGAGCAACCCAGGGCACCATAGAGCTAAGAGCATGCTAATTTATGGCTCTGGAAAGAGAAGCCGCAAGGGAGAAGAGAGGATGAGCTGACAGAAGGAGCTTAGATTCCACCTCATCAGAAAAGTGGCAGCGCCTCGGAGCGGCATTCCCTTCCCTTCAGAAAATGCGGGCCCCTGTGGATCCGGTTCTTCCAGGAGTTAGGAAGCGCTGGGTTTCAGTTAACAGCCTGGAGAAGGAGGTGATGATTGCTAATGAGAAGTCAGATGCCTTCACCGTTCACTTGACGCAGTGCTCAGGCACACACAGGGCTCCCCACAAGCAAACGGGGGGCCCCTGTTTCACGCCATAAATACAGAGAAGTGTTGGGTAACCGCAAGGCTTAAAAGGCTATATTTAAAAATCACAAGTCTCCACTGTCTTTTGCATTTTATCTGTTGTTGCTTTTCAGAGCAAGGGGACTTGGGCTGACTACGCACGGAATTCAGGGATCTAGAAAAATAACTGAGAGCGAAGAGTGAAGAATCCAACTCTTACTATCGCCCCAGCATTTTTATGTTCCGAATCGAGTCATTTTGTTTATTACTTTGATGTCAAGTGTGAAGACAATGATGTTTTAGTTCATTTAGTTTTCTACGTGAGGGTTTCTTGAGGAACACGATGGCCGTGTAAAGCAATCGTTCGGCCTGATAAATACTTCATGCTTATTAACGAGACGGTTACAGGACAATTTACAAAAATATGGCCTCAGAATCTGTAACATTTCAATGGAATTATTGTAGAGTTTTGCGTGAAGGACCATCGTCGAACATTTATGGGCGCCGTGTTCTTGCGCTTTCTTAAAATCATCACGAGTCTTTACACTATCAAGTCTCTAGTAAGAGCCAACGTCTGTGTTTCTGGAGACGTTCTGTTTGCACAGGCCCCGTGTGGGCCAGCAGCTTCTTCTTGAGGGAAATGTTAATGAGATGCCTTGAAAATCTGAAAATTGTTAGGGGTCCTGCCATCGCCCTCACCCCACCTGCACGAAGGGGCCATAGGAGCAGCGCCGGGGCCCACGGGGCAGAGGCAGCCTGGATGTGACTGCAGGCCAGTGTGCTCTGCGCCCGTCTCGCTGCTCTCTCCCTTCCTTCGCAGTCTGTGCTCCCTGCACGGCAGCGGGTCAAGCGCGAGGGAACTAAGAATCGGGGAGAGACAGTCCTCTTGCTCTTCTGCAGGTCTTGGACATGGCCAACAGAAGTTGATGCAGGGTCCTCTGGGACACGGATGAGTGGCT